TGAAAAACGTAAACTAAATAAGTTCTGTACGTTCTACGTAAATTCTAGCTGTAATCATGATTTCAGAAAAGTTTGAAGAGTGTGTACATGGAGTTGTGTCGGGGTAGGCTATCGACCATCCTTGTTTCCCACTGCACATAGTTGGTAAGTAGGTGGTAATGCTGTGGTTTGACGAAGTATTAAGCAAAAGATAGCAATTAGAAAAAGTGACTGAGGGAATTTTCCAATTCCTGTTGAAATTACAGAAATTACATTTCTTCCTCTCTGAAAATTGTTAGAGTTTCTGTTTGGGAAAGAATTTTGAGGCACGTTTCTATTTTGAAAAGAATTTGGAGGTGCATGGGATCTGTTTCTCTATGGAAAAGATGATGGAGATCGACTACGAAATCCCTCACGAGAGTTGTCTCGAGCAAAATGAACATTTCTTTCAATAGGAGTAGGCTACCGTGTTTTGGGATAAAATTGTGAACAAGAGCGTGTTTGGTTTTTTGGTGAGCGAAATTTATTTCTATGATGCGAAAATTTTGGAGGCTTAAAAAAAGTTGCGCTTGTAAATCATATTCATACGAGCATGTCGCATGTTTCCTAGAATTTTATCTACTTTTTCCATTAAAATTAAATCTCCAATTATTTCTTCGTTTTGGGTGAGACCCTAAATGTGTTCAGCTTCATTTAATAAACGATTGTGATTTGTTTGTAAAGGACCTAGAAATTTTAGTTTTTGTTTTATTTTTGTTAGACCGTTTGTGAGGATATTAGAAGAAAACTTCTTTTCTCTTCTGAGTCGAGATTAGAACAAGCTTCGAGATGTTTTGCTTGATTCGTGTGGAAAATAGGTTGGGTGATTCGTCTGGTTTAATTTCATATCCATAAGTTTTTCACGAGCCGTATTCAAAAAATGATCAGTTGAAAAGTGCAATCGTAATCCGATTTTAGTAAAGAAAATTGTCGAAAACAGCTTTGGCTACACCTTTTAGGTGAGCAGAAAAAAGACGTACCATTTTCTGAGATGTTGCTTATTTCTATGAACTGTTGCAAAAAATTCTAAACCGTTCCCAGCATGTTCTTCGGAGAGCGTGGGAAGTTTCATGGAATATGAAGATAGACAAAGCTTGATAAAGGCTGTCTAGATGTTCTTCTAGATTTTGGGCTTCCATTTCAAGATGAGGATTTAATAAAGTGATGATTTCTGGTTTAAAAGTCTGGAGATGTTTCTTGTGTTTGTATTTCAGTTGGTATGACTTTTATTTCTACAGGCTTCTAGGTTGATTTTTCTGGTTGTTTTCTATTTGATTTGCCTCTCTCAAGTCAAGGAATAAGTGTTTTCTAAGAGGAGGTGAACATGATTCGGAAGAATTTGATGTGGTGGAATTAGATGAAGATTTTGACCTTCTTGAGGAGCTGCGGAAGAGACGAGGTGGTGGTAGGTTTTAAATTCTAGTTTCGTTAAATCGCTTTAGTCTTTTAAGGGAAGTTCGAGAACAAGAGCGCCTTCGACTCTATACAGAGCCTATAGCAGTTATCTGGCGGATATGATGCAAGGTGCTCGAACTAATAACCGTATCTGAACTATTAATAGAATAAAAGCAAACTTTAATTTTGGTTATAGGGGTGTTATGAATAAATTTTGGTTTGTAAAGTGGAAATTACAG